ATTTATACTATTAATTATATATTTAATAATATTTATTTTAAGTTATATTAATTAAACTAATTATATTAATATTTAATTATTAATTATATTACTAATTATTCAATTAAGTAAATTAGATAATTAATTTATACACTAATCATACTATTAATTTACTTAATTATATTAATTAAGTTAACCAATAATAACTTAAAGCCGTCTAGGGTTTGCCTTCCATCTTCTCTTTTCGCCGTTTTTGTTCGACTTCGTTGCTTCACAGGAGGTGTAGAGATTGCACGCGTCGCTTCTTCGGCTCCTTCATAGTTGCTCAACTTCGCTCCTTCGACGACTTTCCCTTCCTAAAGACAATTAAAGCAACATAAAAAGTTACATGCCGCCATAAGGAACACAATATCTATATAGCCATACATACTAACTAATAGAATTAAACAATCCCGAAGTTATAAACAGCTCATCTCTGGCGTCATACTACCGGACAAGAGAAACTTCAAGCTCATAAGAAGATGTTCGATTGCCTACCAGAAAGAGGCAGTGTTGTTTGGCTAAACCGATCTGGATATTTCCACTCGGTGTAATCTTCCATCTAGAACAAACAAAAATATGGTTCATTATTGTCTCAATTTGCCAACACAAATCACAAAATAATATATTTTCGTTCGCCTCGTTAACTTCACCAAACTATTGATTGACAGGTTCCATATCCCATCTTTTTTTTTCCTAAATGCATCAAGCTCTTGAGAAAGATGGTTGATCATCCTATTAACCAACTCTTCACAAGAATGCTTGATTGAAACAACCCTAAAATTTGTGATGACATCAGATGTATTTTGAAAAGCATTTCACTTATCAGTGATGGCAATCACACTATTTCCTTATCAGTAACAATTTGCATGCATAACTTCGGCGGTGCATCCATCTTGCTCTGGTCATCGACATACATGGGCTTATCAAAATCAAGAACTTCAAAGAACATGTCGTCATCGTACACGTCATACAAGGGCTCATCATAGAGAGGTGAAGACAAGGATTTCAACAACATATCTTCAAATTCTTCAAAGCTGAACTCGATCGAGGTTGGGATGGAATAGATCTAATCAACTGAAATGCCCTCATCGTTGTCATTGGTTCACAAGGATTTAGTTGGAATGAAGGATCTTGAATCCGTCAAAGGAGCATACTTGCCCCATAATCGGAAACCATTAAAGTCCCGGGCCAGGGGGGCTCAAGCCTTTTCTTCATTCAATCCTTGACAATCTTAATTTAAGTCGGGCAATTTCTTGTAGTAGATCTTCAATTTTTGCTTTTTGAAGTGGCAACTGTCGAATCTAACAAGGCCATATCTTGCTCTATTTAGATGCTGATTTATGAGCCAAGAACCATAAATTATATTATTAATGGCTGGAATATGTTGGAAGTAGCTATCTTAATAACTGGAAGAAGAAGAATAGCTCCTAGACTTTCTTGGAATGATTCTGGCCTTCCCGTAAAGATTGTCCCACTGGTTTGGATGAACCACCTAGTATATATATATTTACAGAGAAAGCAATCGTCCTACTATCAGGAACGGACCACTTTCCCCATTTCACGAATGAGGAACAAGCGCGGACAAAAATCATGCCCAGCTCTCTATCGGGACGGACTGCATGGCTGCCGGCAATAGAAGAACCTATTTGTTATTGCCAGTGATGAAAAACCTGGTTGACATTGACACCTTGCTACTATTGGGCTGATCATAAGGTAATACCGCCTTCATCCGATCTTTATTAAAATTCATAATGTCCTGGTCATACCTAGGACACCAACTACGATATAAAATAGCATGTTCAATGTCAAGGTAACTGCAGTCAATATCTGGTGGTGAATGACCGTCATCTTTGTGGCGTTTCATCTCATGATATTACATTTGTAAGAAATGCGGTTTGACAAGATGATCATTCTCCTCATGAAATCTAATTTGAAGAGATTTCCAATCTGCAACATTTTAAAAATCTCTTATCATGTAAAGTTTGACCATAATCAACTCATCATACATATTCCAGAGAAAATCGCCCTCATTTTCTGATCATTCATTGACGCAACACCTAAAAATCTCATTTGCATTTGCCTTTTACTCCAATGGAGTGTCACCAACTCGTGCTATACAAGCATGCATCCTTCGACTTGCATCATCAAATCTTTCTTTATTGGCGACTCCATTCACCTTCTCCGTACATGGCCAAAACATCTTAAATGACTCAATAAATATGCTTCAAATGTTATGTATGGACTCTTTAAATAACAGAGTGTAAATATATCAAAGCATCACTTGCAGCAAAAAAATACAATAGGATATTAATGGCTCTTACAACTTTACAGTCTATCTGATGGGATTTGATATTTCCAGCTATATGATATGTTCAAGTACAGTCAACGAGATAATACAAGAATCCTATGCCTTCAATGACATTTTTTTAACAAAGGAATTCAATGTTCTGAGCAAGGACACATTCATTATTTTTTATAGAGGAATTCAATGTCCACAACAAGTGCACATTTGTATTAAAATTTTAATAATTTCTTTCAAAATATAACAAATTATATATATAATCAAAATGGACTCATTAATTAATTTACAAATATTGTAAATAATTAATAATACAATTAAACTCAAAATTTAACTAATAAACTAATACAATTTCATCAAAATCAAATAAATTAAGCATTAATAAAATTTTAATCAATAATGAATTAATTAATATTTTATTTAATTAATTTTTATTATTCATTTCATATAATAAATCACTCATTCATTATTATCACTTAAAATATATTGAAAATATAAAAAATAAATTATAAATTTTTATAAATTAATTTATCTTTTTAAATATAATATTTTTTAAAACATAATAAAATTAAATTATATATAATAAAATTTAAATTTCTAATTATATTCATAAATTTTCAAATTTTCTTATTAATTATTAAATTCAATATATAATTAAAGAACTAAATTATCAAATATACTTAGATATTTTTTAAATTATATGTTTTTACATATAACAAATTACTATACAATTTAAATTATAAAATTTATACTTATAAAATAAACAAATTTATCTTTAAAAAATTATATAAATTTTTTAATTATATTTAAATATAAAATTTATAATATAAAATAATATTATTTGGTTTCTATAGAACTCAGATCATTAAAATCCCGTTTCTATAGAAATTGTTCTAGTTTTGTATAACCGGATGATTAAGATTCCGGTTCTAAAATTTGATAACCATTATTCGGTTTCTAACGGTTCTTTGACAGTATGTTTTTGCCCCTTTTAAAATTTTTCGGTATTTGCGATCCTTATGTATATTTCGGTATTAAAGTTGCTCCTTTTTATAATTTTGTCTTTATTCGATTGAATTTTATTTTAGAATAATAATATTATTAATACTTCATTTAAGTCAAAGAATATTTTGAGAGAAGTTCACTAAAGCAAATTTAAAAGAAAACAAAAACTCAATCACCAGAAGTAATTGGATAAGGTCTCACCTTACTTAAAAATTAAAATAGAGGCATCCAGTAGTTTGCAATTTGTAATTTGATTGAATTAGATTCAATTCAACCAATCTTTTTTCATTTTAAATTAAATTTTAATTTTCAGTTAAATATTTTTTTATTTTAAATTAAATTATTAATCATAGTCCAAAAATAATTAAATTATCATTTAATAAATCAAATTAAATCAAACAAAATCTATTATATTCAACATCCATCTTCTTCCACTCCAACCTCGCCTATGGCATATCATTCCTTACGGAAGCCATATTCACCGCCCACCCTCGCAGTCGCATCTTTTTCACTCGTCAATCGTCATCAGCGTGACCGCCACTCCTCCTTCCTTACATCATCTAGGTCCCACACTGCAGGGCTTTGTTGAGGTCGCCTTGATGGCCAGCCTTGTTTGTCGTTCAAGACAAACAAAATCGATGGCTTCTTGCCATCAACTTCCTAGCTACTGACATCTCCAGACTTCCACAGAGATCACAGCTCTTTGGTTTTTTATGTTCAGGTCTGCTGTGACAAAATACAATCTTTATTGATATAAACCACTTGGATATGTCAATAGTAATTAGTAAACCTTATAATTTTATTTTATTTATTTATTATTATTATTTTTTACTTATTGAGTCAATTAAATATATCACATATGCAAAATTTAAATTCAAGATCTCCTGATTAATACCTAAAATTCCAAACAAACATATCAAGACGAGCTCCGTCTTATAATTTTATTGTTCTCCACTAAAAAGTAATCTAATATAGTCCTACAACTCATCTAGCTTATGAGATTTAGATACCAATGAGCTGTAAGTTATACCAAAAAAAAAAAATTCCATCTTGATACTATGTTCAGAAGGGATGGCATCAGAAAGGAAATTTCAAAAGTTTCCTATCACATGTACACAGAAAAAAAAAGGACGAGCACATAAAGAAGAGAAGAGAATAACACATATGTTGAGGTGAAGATCAGACTAAGGTCCTCGGGTTGGAAATAAGAAGCATAAGCATATTTAGTAACTTTGTCATCTCATCTGGAACCATACCACCTCTTTTGCTCGTGTCAATCGTGATGTAGTGGATCGTCGGAAGAATTGACCAGCGAGAAGGATTTGTTCCCAATCCAGGGAAGAAGAAGAACACAAGCTTAAACAAAGCTTCAAGGAGAAATATATTTCATCAATCAATGTCCTTGCTACTACAATACTTGATATTTATAAAGCTAAAAGAGCATTCTAGAAGCTAGTACTAACAAACTTAGATAACATATTCCTAAAGCTGCATTTAGTTAAGATGTTTCTACATCATACTCCCCTGGCGTAAAAAGAATGCTCGACTCCGTCGAGGTGCTTTATTGGAAAAAAGATAGATATAGAAATCATAATCAATCCTCCGGGGTAAAACACTTTGCGTCTTTGATGCCCAATCATTACTCACATGCAGGCTAGGTGCTTGAGGGCTTCACTCAAAATTGAAGCATCATTTGCATCTTCCTCATAGTCTGTTTGAGCTGATGTTCTACCACGTAGTATTTCAAAATTCTCAAAGCACGATCCCCCACAAAACATGCATCTCTTTTTACAGAGGATTTTTGTAGTTGAGATCCAAGTGCTAAGGCATCCCGCAGTTGCTTTAATCCACTCAACTTGTATGTTGAATGATATGTGCCTATGACAAAATCATGGATATCCTGGTTAGCGCGAGCATTCACAACCAGAATAATTGGGCCATCATCTATTCGAAGACCAAAAAATTTAAAATGAAATTCAAAATTTTGCTGCTCCTTTTCTTGCGATGCTAAAGAAAACATCTTCATCATTGCTTCAACAGAAGACTCCTTGGCAAGAGTAAGAAAATGCCTCCCTATGACTTCATCAACCGAAAGGCTATTTAATTCAGCAATTTTCATATTCCAGCCATTTATGAGACCATCAATATTAATTGCTAGAATGGGTACATTTGATGTCTCAATCAAATGAACTGCTTTAGTAACTATTCGAAGCTCGAGGATTCCATCAACCTTAAGATCATTCATCTGAGAATCAATTGTCACTACAGGAAAAACGTCGAAATCCGATGGTTTTTTCCGGCAGTTAGCTTATATTAACCGGCGGTTTTTTTAACTACCGGCGGCTTTACGGCTGTTTTTGTGCCGCCGGAAAAAAATCGCGTAGGAAACTAGCACTGGCGGTTTATGTAGCCGGCGGTTTTCTGGATTCCATCGACGACCACTTTTCCGTCTACACGTGATCATTTTAAGACATCAAATATGAGACGAGCATTTCGCCTTGATTGGAGATGTGAGTGTTGACCATTTGATTTTTGATGACTTTTATGACAATTTAATTTATGATGATGTGAAAACAGCAAGGGTTATAAGATTGATGCATAAAGTAGTTAAATCTAATGTAGATGCAAGAGTTTTAAGTTATGTGCATATTAAAGATACGGGACTAGATATCATGCAAGTCAATTTTTTGTCCAGATAGCTCTATAAAGTAAATCAATAATTTGTAATGTCATTAGAAGTTAATCCAAAACATAAATTTAGTTCAAATTAGTGTATTGTATTATTAGTCATATTATTAAGAGTCAAGGTACTCCTATTTGTCATAAAATAAGTATGCTAACTATTAACTTGCAACATCCTTAGAACTTGATTTGCTCAACTCCAACATGCCAAAGACTACTTTTTCTATGGTCATAAACACAACTGACCCGAAGTATGAACCTTGACAATAATTAAAATAACAACTAATAACAATTTATTTTATTTAAATTTCATTATTATTTTTATTTTAAAGTTTCAAAATATAAGAAAAATTAAAATAATAATAATAATATTCTTTAAAGTGGGATCATCTTTATTTAATCATATCTCTAACGAACCTTTGCTAAATGGATAAAGTACAACAACAAGCCTTTTTCCTCCTATGTGTGGTCGGTTAGTATGTACAACAACAAGATGCCTTTATCAATTTAATTATAACTTTGAATAATAGATATGAGATATCTAAAATGTCCACTCTTTTTAATGACTTGATCATCCAATCCCACAATCCCACCACTAGATCTACTGATACTAAAATTGCACTGTAAGTATTCAGTTTTTAGATCTACTCAAAAGAAAACCACTAAAATTGACATCTATAATTCAAAATTTCATCAAATCCCTCTTTAGTCTTATCAACAAGAAGAATATCATTAGTAAAAATCATACACCAAGGTACTTCCTTCTGCAAATGCCTAGTAAGAATATTCATGACTAAAGCAAAAAGATATGGGCTTAAAGTTGATCTTTGACGTCATCCAAGTAAAATAGGAAAATACTTGGTCAAACCACCTTGTGTTTGAACACTAGTAACAACTCCTATATACATATCCTTAACGACTTGAATATAGACATTATTGATTCATTTTTTAGAACTCTCCAGAGCACTTCTCTTAAAACTTTATCATATGCTTTCTCTAAATCAATAAATATCATATGTAGATCCTCCTTACTCTTTGTATGCTTCTCCATCAAACTTCTTAGCAAATGTAGAACTTTTATAGTAGATCTACCCAATATGAATCAAACTTATTTTAAAAAATATTAGTATCACATCGTAACTTATGCTCTCTCTCTCTCTCTCTCTCTCTTAATTTTAATGTATAACACATTAATTTAATTCCTCTATAAGTCGCATACTCTTGTGCATCACATCTTTTTTTAAAAATAAGAATCAACACTCTTTTTCTACTCATCTTGTATCTTTTGTCTTTAAAATAAAATTAAAGAGTTTAGTAAGCTAGAAATTCCTTAATCTTTTATGTATTTTCACGCTTTTATTGGAATATTATCAAGTCTTACAGTTTTTCTGTACTTCATTTTGTTAAAGTCTTTTCAACTTCAATTTTACTAACACGATAGTAAAAACAAAAATTTATATTTTCATTTTGGATGCTAAGGTCATTAATATCAATCGTATTCTCATAATCTTTATTGAAAAGTTTATCAAAATATCTTGTCCACCTATATTTGAATATCCTCTTCTAAGAAAAGCTTGTTTTGATTTTCATCCTTAATGCACATCGCTTAACCTAAATCCCTACTTCTCTCATCTCTTTGCTCGACTAACTTATACATACATCTTATGTCCTTCTTAATATATAATCTATTATATAAATCACTAAATACTTTTTTTTTTACATCGTGTATTGTTTTCTTAGACTCTTTACAAGCCCATCTATATCTTTTCCATTTTTGTGAGCTTTTTCATCTAATCCCTCCTAATTGGATTTAAGTAAAGAAAAAAATACTATGCAAGGTTCATGTGCTCATTTCATCTTAACTAACGCTTTAATTGGTCAAAATCCATTATTAATCTATCGTTTATTAAATGACGGGCAAAGTGAAATTCCACAAAATGGAAAGCACTTGTTGCGTCTCCATGATGAGGCTCTGGGGGGTTGTCTGGATTTAAGTAGGATTAGTTGCTTCTGTAAATCTATATTTATTAAATCTTGAGGGTGTTAAATCCTGAAAACCATTTGGCATGGTAGAGGTTAAATCTAATTAAATTTTGGTGAATTGTTTAGATACTTATTTCAAGATTTAAAGTTTGTTAGCTAAATAAAATTTAAATAATTATTATTGATAACAAAATTAATACATACTATAATTACCAAAATATTTATCAAATCATACTCTAATTATATATGAATATCCCAAATAATTATTAATTAGTAATTTATTGAACTAATGAAATATAAGTTTTAATTTAACAAATTAATTAATTTTAATTTGATTAATTAAATCGTACTTATTAAGAAATTCATATACTAATTAATTATTATTTAGTACATCATTGAACTAATAAATTATCTATTCTAATTAAAAAAAAAAAAAATCTTCTCTGCCATTGTATGCATGCTTGAATAATTTCTCTTCTCAATTGTTTTTGTCTATGCTCTGTGTAAAGGCTTAGGCTTCTCATGGGTTTTAAAAAGCAATATGTGATGCAAAGATTTGTATCTTTTAATGTTTTATATAATAGATTAGATAATAAGGATGACGAAAATTCTATGTATAAGTTAGCCAAACAAAGAGATAGAAGTAATAAGGATTTAATTTTAGTGGAGTGCATTAAGGATGAAGAACAAAAAGTGCTTTTATTAGAAATATGATATTCAAGAAAGGTGGATGAGATATTTTGATAAGCTTTTCAATGAAGATTGTGAGAATGCAATTGACTTTAGTGACCTTAGGATTATAAATGAAAATAGAGATTTCTATTTTTATTGGCGTATTAGTAAAACCGAAGTTAGAGAGGTTCTAAAGAAAATGAAGTGTGAAAAAAGCTATTGGATATGATGATATTCCGATAGAGGTGTGAAAATGCTTAGGAGATGAAGGAATTTCTTAGCCTACGAAACTTTTCAATATTATTTTGAAGATTAAAAAGATGTAATATGAGTGGAGTGTGTTGATTCCTATTTTTAAGAATAAAGATGATGCACAAGAGTTGTTATCGTTGTATGTTGGATTGAACCAATCCTAGTTAGATCAAATTGTTGTTAGTGGTAATCACTTTCCAGCTGATTTTTTTGCCGAAAGTAGCAAATTACTGATAAAAAATCTGTTAATTATTTGAATAAGTAGAATTTCAATGGATTTCTAGTGCCCTATGTACGGTAGAATTTTTTGTTATAAATATCCATTAGTAGCCACAATTTTTTTGCAGTGTTTGCTTCTTAGTTACTTTAAAAATCTTTGTAAGATGAATTATTTATTATTTTCATGGTGTAGGAGAAGTCAAATTATGTGAAAATTTTGGAGCATGCATTAAATGACATCCATAACAATTTTGTTGAATTTTATTTTAAAAATAGTTTATAAAAGTAACACTTTTAGAGAAGGGTATTACAAGTCGTTAATTTTTCATCAGGTTTTATCAATGGTTAAGTTTATATAAAAATTGATCAATAAGTTCTTAGGGTTAGGTAAACATCAACGATGTTGATCTTTCAACTGAAGGCAGAAGCATGGAAATTTAATTGGGTGGACTGTCTTCTCTGATTTAGATTTTGATAATTTGATATTCAAATAGAAGATTACAATCATTCACTCTTTTTAGCATGGTTAAAGTTAGATTCTTGTTAATCAATAATTGGGTGTATCAAAAAATTGTATAAGAAGATATTTTTTATTTCAACATGTAGAGGCTCTCGAATGGCTTGGAATTCTCTAGCATGGGTTGCTAATGGAATCTTGTGCTTAATAAATTGTTTTGATCAGTGAAAGACATGAGTAAAACTAGAATTTTAAGGGGGTTCATTTATTTCATATGATCATTTTTGTATTTAAAAGAGAATTTGACTTTTAATAATACACAATGGAGGATTCATGTAGCTGATCCCACGTATTGGGATAAAAGCTTGATGTTGTTGTTGATCATCTTTGTATTTCATACTTTCTGCATGGTTAAATTGTTACGAAAATTAATGAAACTCAGATCTATTGTTAATTCTCTTACTGTAGATCATTAAATGTATTGTGGTTTTGAATTGAAGACTATGCAAGTCTATACTTGTAAAAATGAATTTAGAAGAGTTATCATTCTTCTTTAATTTATACTCGCTGAAAAATATGACAATATAAAATTTGAATATTTGCTTGGCTGAAGCTGGATGGAATTTTCTCATTCTCAAAAATCACTTCCAAAAAGTGACTTTCAGTTTTGATGAATATCAATTTTGTTTTTTAAATTTAAATAATAATATAATTATATTAAATTGATAGGATGAAGGGCTAGAATTATACTTTTACTAATAATAATAATAATAATAATAATAATGATGCACAATGCCAACCTTCCGATGACCCGATTAGGAGAGTAGATGTATTAGATTTTGCCTATATTAAAAAATATAGAGGTAGATCTAAAAAGATTTGGTTAGAAAGTATTAGAAATGACTTATTTTTATTTAAATTTAAATGAGAATTTTACTTTTAACAGGACAATGGAGACAAAGTATTCATGTAGCTATAACCCACATAGTGGGATAAAGGCTTGATATTGTTGTTGTTGTAATATTCTTTATCCACAACACAAGTTCAATGCCATTAATGGTTGTCCTTTTTCACCTGCTCGCCCAAATTGCTTTGTTTCCAATAAGCCAAAATTTTGCAGGAAGGTACATTTTAGTGATGTTCTATTATAATCCCTTTCAACTGCAGGAGAAATATAGAAATATACACCAGAGATTGCCCGTGGTTGTAGCTGAAACACTTCTGTATGGTGATCCTCAGATTGAGTTGCCTTTTTGGCTCGTAAATATGTTCAAGGTAAATCCCGTTTGGAGATATCAGCTTTTGTTTACCCCCTTCACGGTAACCCTTTTTCTTAAGCTTGGGTTTATCCATTAATGTCTCATTCGGAGGACAGTTTTTTTCCCCTTATTTGCCTCATTTTAATCCCAAATGGTCATTCTTTCCTCTTGTTTTTTCTTCTCTTTAACGTCTTTCATCTATCTGCTCTTACTTCGCAGTCTAGTGTTGTGGTTTAAAGATTACTGATTTTCTTCACTCATTGTGCCGTACTAGGCTGGACGTAGGGCAATTTCTTGGGGTATGACAGGCCAGCAGCCAGATCCTGCAACACTAGTTCGATTGTACATAGATTATGGTCGGCTTGCTGAAGCCACAAATCTACTGCTCGAGTACCTTGAATCCTTTGCAACAGTGGTAATTAGTTGATTCGGATCCTCACTGCTTCAAGCCCTGGTTTATCCGAGCTTGGATAAATACTAATTTCTTGATTTAGGGTTTAGATGTTTGATAATTTCATCCCAATTTGACATTGACAGGGTGCTGCCGATCCAATCAAACGGAAGAAGACTTCCGCCATCTGGTTTCCTTACACTGCTATTGAGCGCCTCTGGTGTCAGCTTCAGGAGTTGTGCAGCGCTGGTCATATGACCGGGCAATGTGATAAGCTTAAGAGGCTTCTCCAGGGAGCTTTGCTAAATCATCTAAAGCAGGTATTCCTATACTCTTTAAAACATAGCGCCCTTCCGTAAGTCTTGAATCACAATATTATAGAATGCAGAGTGATCTCATATGTTGAAGAAGATTAATAATTCTCCAACTCCCTGGTTTTTACTGCATAATATGTACTCCATCAAGGTTGCTCTTTTAACCAAGGTTGCCCTTTTAACCTTGGTAAACAAAAGTTGTGCCATTTGTTATTTGTAAGGGTGTAAACTAGCTGAGTAGAGCTCGAGCCACCCCCAGTTTGTGTTTGACTAATTAATTGAGTTTGAACTCGAATATGATCTCAATTCTATAATTTTTTTAATTAGCTCATTAGCCAGTTCATTTATCATAATAGAGAGAAGATGGCTCCAACTCAAGTAAAATATTTAGATAGTTTGAATAACTTAAATTCTAATATAATTTATATTAATATATTTTAAATGAGTAAATTCACAAGTTGACAAGTTGAGTGGGAGCTGGCTTCAATTTGACTGGTTAGTTAATGTGGTGTTCACAATTTATTTATGGAGGCGAGGTCAAGCCAGGTCATTAGTCTACCTAGATTCAGTTAAAAGTGTGATTATTTGATTAGAGGATTGATTTATTATGGCTATTTGCTCCAGGTAAAGGTGGACTCTGAGGATGCTTTGGCATCTGCAGTTGCGTCATGATCTCCCAGCTCAAACAGGAGGGGTGAAACCAGGCTCATTATTTAAAGTCCTTATCGATGTATGTAAAATGATTTTGTATTCTTTCATATCTTTTATATAATCAATGTCTGCTTACACCATGCACCGGAGGTTAATAGTTCGTGTCTTTCTGTTAATAGCAAGCTCTTTTGTTGACAGTTATTATTATGTTCTGATTATAAATTTAATTGGTCCGTTTTACAATAATGCTCTGTTTTTGCTTATTAATATGGAATGTATTTTAAATTATTAAGACAAATTTCCTTGTCATATGCGCAGTTTCTAGAATAGTTTGAAAAGTAAATTAGCCTAAATTCCAAAGTAAAGATTTTCAGCTCATACCAACTTTGGGCTGAGTTAAAAATGATTAATTATGAGTTTAAATGTGTTGAATGTGCCTGTTCGAGGTTCTCTATTATCATCATCATAATCTTCATTTTAACAAGAGCAAATTGTCAATTATATCCCAAAAGATAATCATTACAAGCTAAAATCATACTATGTACATAACTTCTAAAGCAATAATCAAAAGTAAAGTTTAACCGTCACTTTGAATACAAAGGATCTCATTTTGATCGGCCAAAAGGTATAAAATGGGCTTAAGTGGCCGGTCATGCAAAAGTGCATGAATCAAGGCAACTTTCTTGCATGAATCAAGTATTCAATCTGCATGGAAGCTTCATCCACATGTGGCTATACCCAAGGATGCATGAATCAAGGCAACTTTCTTGCATCTTCCTCAGCCTTTGACAGAAAAGCCCTTAGCATGAACCTTTCATGCATCCAGCAGTTTCCTTGGTCATCCAAAGCAAGTTCCAAAATGCCCTTTTAGTGGTCGGCCTTGTATGGATCAAGTCAAAGTATATATTGAAAAGAAATTATTACGTGCGGAGTTCGGATATAGCTTTACGGCCGGAATTCAAGGAAATCATGAAACTTTTTTTTTACACGTAGATTTTAATGTGTTTTTTATAGCTTGTAAGTCCGGGTGCAAAGTTACGTTCGAACTCTGTATGTAATAATTTTTCATTGGTTGAACAATGATTTTTGGTTGAATGCTATGTTGGATTGTTAGGGCCTCTGTTAGAGGACTGTTAAGCTAACATTTTTTTTTTTCATGGCCTGAAAATGTTGCATGAAATTAAAATTTGTAATTTTAGCCCTTTTTTTAAAAGTACAGGTGATTTGATCCCTGGAGATCAGAATATGTAAACAATTGAAAGTAGTCTGAATCTCTTGCAGGATATGAAAACTCCAAGCGCTTTGAGCATTCCATTATATATATATATATATATATGGTAATATTTTTTTTTGTTTACAGTTATTATTATGTTCTGATTATAAATTTAATTGGTCCGTTTTACAATAATGCTCTGTTTTTGCTTATTAATATGGAACGTATTTTAAATTATTAAGATAAATTTTCATTATTTGGATGCTTTTAATTAATCAATAGGGGTCTAAACTGCACAAAACGCTAACATGTAATGACTTCATTCGATCAATTGGTTAAAAGTATGCAAAGGAGTTGTGTGTAGGAGGGAGCAGAAACTGGAACTTGCCAGTATGCGCAGTTTCTAGACTAGTTTGAGAAGTAAGTTAGCCTAAATTCCAAAGTTAAGATTTTCAGCTCATGCCAAGTTTGGGCTGAGTTAGAAATGATTAATTATGCGTTTAAATGTCTTGAATGTGCCTGCTCGAGGTTCTCTATTATCATCATCAGCATCATCATCTTAACAAGAGCAAATTGTCAATTATATCCCAAAATATAATCATTACAAGCTAAAATCAAGCTATGTACATAACTTCTAAAGCAATAATCAAAAGTTAAGTTTAACAGTCACTTTGAATACAAAGAATCTCATTTTGATGGGCAAAAAGGTATAAAATGGGCTTAAGTGGACAGTCATGCAAAGGTCCATGAATATTTGTCTAGAATTCAATCTGCATGGAAGCTTCCCCCACATGTGGCTATACCCAAGGATGCATGAATGAAGGCAAGTTTCTTGCATCTTCCTCAGCCGTTGATAGAAAAAGCCTTAGCATGAACCTTCCATGCATCCAGCAGTCTCCTTGGTCATCCAAAGCAAGTTCCAAAATGCCCTTTTAGTGGTCGGCCTTGCATGGATCAAGTCGAAGTATATATTGAAAAGAAATTATTACGTGCGGAGTTTAGACATAGCTTTACGGCCGGAATTCAAGGAAATCATGAGACTTTTTTTTTACACGTAGATTTTAATATGTGTTTTTTATAGCTTGTAAGTCCGGGTGCAAAGTTACGTTCGAACTCTGTATGTAATAATTTTTCATTGGTTGAACAATGATTTTTGGTTGAATGCTATGTTGGATTGTTAGGGCCTCTGTTAGAGGACTGTTAAGCTAACATTTTTTTTTTTCATGGCCTGAAAATGTTGCATGAAATTAAAATTTGTAATTTTAGCCCTTTTTTTAAAAGTACAGGTGATTTGATCCCTGGAGATCAGAATATGTAAACAATTGAAAGTAGTCTGAATCTCTTGCAGGATATGAAAACTCCAAGCGCTTTGAGCATTCCATTATATATATATATATATATATGGTAATATTTTACTTGAGAATGATAGGTAACTTGAAAGTTGACTTGAAAAGACCATAATATTACACTGGTGTTAAAGCTTGCTAAGCAAAAATGGAGTCAAGCTAGCCGTTTGTTTCTTTATTACCGCATGGATGTACGTGATTTAGTTTTGATAGGCAGGTTCGACTACTATCTTGTCCTAAATGCTCTCATCAGCCCTGTATTTAGAGCTATAGTTCATGCAGCTGTAAATACATTGACAAATTGTAAACCCTTTTTAATGCATGCAAATGATGATGCAGTATTTATTTTGGATAAGCTCCACAATCATTCTTTCAATTCAAAAAGTTTGCAGGTAAGATGCAATTGTTCATTAATAGGAAAGACGGCATTTATACTTGCAATAAGCAATAATAAAAAAGTAAGTTAAAACTTCAACAAACAAATAAAAAATAGAAATCAAATTATAAATAACAACTGACAACATGCTCGAGGAAGAAGTCATGCCTTACTGTCGCTAACATCTGGGAAGGTTACACACTTGAAAACTTTGCATTTTGGACATAAAACTAATCCCACCTGCAATATATAAGTGAAGTATTAGTGCTTTTCTCAATGGCATGAGCTGTTTTGATTGGCCACACTTATTAAGAAAAAAACTAGTAAGGATAAATTATGTGGATATAAATCCATTCCCAATTGGCACTAGCTCGCGCTAGATATCGCTGAGACAATCACAGTTTACCAATGTCTTATAAGCTCTGATAAGCTGTGATTGGATTGGTACAAGGAAATCAGGTTGGTCAAAGCACTGCTCTTGGGTTTTGTTTTGGATATTGTACTTTCTGTATATGAAACAATAATTTTTTTTTAAAAAAGGTGGCAATTGCTTATTTTTATTTATTTTATATATCCATCACACTCTTATCATACTTGATTGTGAAATGCTCATTTTTACCACAAAATTTATGAGAAGAAACTAACAAATCTGACAAAAATCTATCAAAAAAATTATAAAAAAAAAAAACTATCTAAAAAACATCCTTATTTCCGCAGTATCAGACTTACAGCTTTACAATATGGGCAGCGACGATAGAAACGGCTACTACTCTCAGACTTCACATTTGTCTTTTGTCCTTGGCAGAAATCACAAATCAACCACCCAATACCATTACAAAGGTCGCAATTAATTCCAATATGCTGCTGCAGCAAAGTAAAGCAAAAATAAAAATAAAAATAAAAATAAATATTCAGGAAGATTGTGATTGCTTAAACTAGTATGTGGCTGGGGTATGACCCTGTAAATCCACGGCTGAATTCTCGGGAGTTGCCTCTCGCCACTCATGACAAATTGGCCATCTCCAAACCTTTGCAAGTTTGTTTTGTCTCATGGAAATTGTAACGACGACTGTAAACCTCTTGGTGATCAAAATGGGCTACACACTTACTAGACCATGGAGTAATAATGTAAATCCTGCTGTATAGTGCCCAAAATATCCACAAACTTAGCAACAACTCATGAGGGGACATCCTCTCTGCAAGGACTTACTAATTTTATCATGAATATAAAAATATATCAAAATTATTTTACTTTATTTAGCTATATCATAAGATTATTTAATTAAATCTACATTCTCTCTTATTCCTCTCCTCTCCTCTCCTCTCTTTCTATCTTAATTTTCCAACGACTGGCTTTTCTCTCACACGTTGCTGAAATTAACCCTATATGTAATCGCTTTTATCAAAAGAAGACTCCCCAAGAAGCATTTCCTCCCAAGTATTGCTGTCGGGTCATTTTTTATTAAGTTTTATGCATGAATCCATTCAATTTTATATCAAAAAAACCCAAGCAAAATCAAGCCATTCAAGTCAAGCCAATTCGAACTACTCAATCTCATACTCGTCAGCCTGCAAGAGAACTCATCTTAAGCAAGTGACCATGATCTAAGAATTCATCCAATACGGAGTGTAAAGTTTATTACTCGGCCCCAATGACTTCCTATCTATGAAGTCAACCTTGACAACTACTCAATGGGCAATATATCAAGATCAACTATTAATTAGCAACTCGGCTATTTGACTATCAAAGTATACCAAGCCAACGATTTCTTTAATTCTCAGCATACCACTTCATCAAGTAAAATCTTTTAACTAGGCAACACAATTATTTTATTTTCTCCTATTTTTCATATAACTATATATGAAACCAACTCTATAACACTAAAGTAACAACCTAAATCTATAAATAGGGGGTGAAGGGTGAGCTCTATTTATGAAATTTAATGCAATTTTCTCAAATTAAGCATACTTTAAAAAAATCGAATAACTTATTACTCTAAAATTCTTCTTCCTCTTTTTATTTATCTATTCTTTTTTCACTCAATATTGTCAATATAATTGGGTTTTGGATTTAACATCTTTAAAGGTGAGATAAGCATGGAGTATGCCAATAACTACGTGAAGTAGAGTACTGCGTGAAGCAGCACAACACCCAATAGTAGGAGAGGAATATGTTGATATAGAGAATTAAGAGTTCGAAAATGTTCACCAACTTGCTGAATTTGAGGGGAAGAGGACAAATGATTACGGGAGCATTGGAGAGGATGCAGAGAACCACTTCTTGAGTGGAATTGTTAAGGAAGAAGAGACTTTCTAGAGCTAGAGCCTTGAACTATACCCATCACTGATGAAACTTACAATCTTACAGTGAGGATTTGACTTCAACTCTTTGCCAGGAAGAGGGGAGAATTGAGAAGAGGCAGTTGCCGCTTGTCAACACCTTCTCAAGAAAGTTGGTTGCGGGTGTAACACCTCCTAAATCTGTGAGCCAATGCACTTGTTTTGACCCAGTCTGATAAGTGGAATTTCTACATTTGTCTTTTGCATATGCCTGTAAATGTTCTGGGTGTTTAAGCATTCTTGATCCATTTTGAAATGGTTTCTGGAGATCTGTATATGTGTATGAAAATATGAAATTTTCTTATTGGAGTGTTGCGACTTTCAGCTCTCCATCCGATTTCTGAAAAAATGAACTAACGCTGCGGCATTGGGGTCGAGCGCTGCGGCGCTGTGCTCTCCAGTGGAGTGCTAGGATGCTGCAAAGTTGAGCACTGCAGTGCTAGGTCAAATTTTTATAAAAAATATTCAAAAGCATTTTCTAAATACCTAAAATTTGTTTTAAGAAAGGGAGAGATTTTAGAGAGATAAAGTTGGATTTTGACAACTTCGATGAGTTTTCTATTGTCAACCCAATTCAAGAAATTATTTGAATCAATTTAGGTTATATTTCACCAATTTAGTTTTTAAAAAAGTGAGAATTTTGGAATTTTTTTAAAATTAAATTATATTTTCATAGTGCAAAAGTGAGAATAATTTTGTATCCGTAACAATGTTTAAAATTGCGTATTTGGATTGAGGCATTTTTCATTCGTGAGGCGAGGCGTAAGCCTCAAAATTAAAGATTGCGTAAACATAAAATGATAAATTTTTTATATACTAATGAGTGAATAATATTAAACATAAAAAAACATAAGATATGAAGTGAAATCAAAATATCCCAATAATAAGACAACATGAAATATAGTTCAACTCAAAATTCTATCTTTCCCAAATCCCAGTATTCTTTTCATTAATATATAATTCCAATTTCCAAAAATAAATAACAATGACATATCACATAAGAACTCATAAGTCATCAACACTGTCATCACTAAGGGGTTCTTCATTTGAATTATCATTATGATGAACTGCTCTCTCCCCTTCCTCCTCTCATATAGAGTCCAATGTCAGGCATTCACTTCAAGATTTATGTAAGTTTTACTATATATAGCGTGAAGCGTAAGCCTCATGCCAGTGAGGCGAGGCGGGCCTCAACCAAGTTGAGGCGCAAGCCTCATAAAAAAAACTCGAGCCGTAAGCACCGAGGCGTTTTTTACTGGAATTGCGCAAAGGCGGGCCTCAAGGCGAGCCTCATATTGCGCAATTTTAAACCATGATCCGTAAAACTTTCACCACAAACCTTTTTGTATGTTATAAATACACTAATTCTTGACATTTATGTATTTTTATGTGAAATTTTCACCAAAAAATATGGATTTTTTGACAATTTAGAAAATAATTATGGTGCCCAAAAATAAGACTACAATATGATAAAAGCTTTAAATGTTCTAAACAATCTCTGATAATTTGGTAACATTATGAAATTATGTAAATAGTGTTGTTGCCTATTATTAAGGCATTCTGTGAAATTCTAAAATCTCTTTATTTATATTTCTTTTACTACAATATAATAAATTATATACTTACCTTCTTGAAATATGACTCTAAGGAGATCTGGTATACGGTGGAAGTTCTGTTATAGTACTATATACATAGAGATTCTTGAGGATCTGAAATTATGAATATATGATATGTGCTAAGCATTGGATTCATAAAAGCATATTTTTTGATATGCTAGCATAAAGAGTCATAAGAGTTTATTTTTAACAGAAGGTATAAGGGCTTGAAGAAAATATATTATTTTCCTATTATGATGTACAAAGTGCTTGTTTATTGATTTTCAATGCATAGTCTACTTTACTTTTGATTTTGCCTTGAGATTCATGTCTGATCAAAATAATTTTTTGATGATATATCATGCATATTTATGTTAGGCTTCTTGGTCTCTTGTCTCCTCTCCTTAAAGGAGAACAATCAAACATACATCAAATGATTGCTTGAAGGAAACTTTCATGTCACAAGACTCTTACAACATTTATCAGGGAATCTATTCTCCGCAGTTTATATCTGCTATATTGTATCAGCCCATTCCCCAATCATGGAGAAATGCATTATTTGTAATCGACAGTAAACACTAATTGAATCATTTCAACTTGGTTAGACCCATACCTGTTAATGACGAATGGCACATCATGGCGCAAAGGTCCCTTTGGAGCTATGGCGCATAGCACACGGCGCGCGCCATTTTGAACATGACGCAAACTAAATAAATTTATAAAATAACAAACATGAATATGAAATATCATTAAAAATGAAAGACAAGCTATCATAATAATGAAAAACAATCATAACATATATAAGTTCGACTGATACCGAGCATATACATAGCAATACCGAGTGGTACTGAGCATGTACATAGCAGTACCGAGCATGTACTTAGCGATACCTAGCATGCACCGAGCGGTATCGAGCATGTACATAGCAATACCGAGTGGTACCGAGCATGTACATAGCAGTACCGAGCATGGAGTTAGCGGTACCGAGCATGTACCTAGCGGTACCGAGCATACCTGTAAGTTTAAATTCTTGTAAGAAATAGCCGTGCAAAACAACAGAGCTGTGCGGAACAGATGGCCTGACGGAGGTTGCGAATCGAAGTCAGCTGGTAAGATTTTTTATTGGAACAGACGAAGGAGGGGGCGGATTTGACGGAAGCACTACTCTGCAGGACGATTGGGCGAAAGCAGCGAATGCAGCAAACAGAAAATAGAAAACCCTCAACTTTGGGACAGATCAGTGACTTCGACTTCGGGACTACGGGATGTATTCGACAGATGCAACAAACTGAAAATCTTTCATGAAATTAGGGCAATGCAGTATAATGAATTTAAAAACAATTTGGCGTGCAATTTTGTGCCGTGCGCCATGACTCACATGTGGCACAAATAGCGCGCGCTATTTTAAACACATGCGCCTCGCCATGAACATGGCGCCATAGGTGCGTCATGACGCGCGCTATTTTGCGCCATTGACAACTATGGTTAGACCCATGATTTATTTTTCTTTTTTTCAAATTTTTCTATAAAAACTTTGGTGTCGCTTGGGACCCTCTCTTATCTTTGTGTGTTAGATTTTCGTATATTGCTAAGACATTAACTTTCTCTCTACTAACACGAATAGTCTTGCACGCTACGAACCATATTTGGGAATTCCTTGTAAAATTTGTGTGCAAGATTTCTTGATGATAATATTTCACATAAGCAAAATGCTTACAAACTATAAACTTAAAAGTAACAAATTTTTCTCAATGATCAAATCAGGCAAAGAAAAACCCTTACTTATCTTAAGCATTTAATGTATACAACTTCATCCATCAAAACATCTAATCGCCATTGACCATTACCGATGAACCACAAAACAAAATGTTAAACAAAATATAAGGGGAAAAAAAAACACAAAACTACAATAAAAATACTTGTACCAAACAAAAGAAAAGGAGAGTTCGACATCTTCTTCTGCATCCTTTTACGGAGAAATCAACTTAAAAAAAAAGATGATTAGATAATATACCGACCTCGCCCTTCTCCATCACGATCTCCCTTACCTCGTCACGAGGCTGGGTATCAGCTTCCCATTGCAAGGAACAGCGCATCGCCCTTACCCATCCCTTCCTCTCGATGCCCTTCTTCCATGCTCTCTCTGCTGCCACAAGTGGACGAGGTAGCAATATCCCCGGAAAACGCCGGATCCCACCATAACCTCCACTCCTCACCCACAGAGCCATCCTTCGCTGGGCTATTCAACTTTCCATCCACTCAAATAGCACGAATTAAACAAAAGCGTCTTTTTTTTTTTCCTGTTTTTTTTTTCATGTCCCATATTATTATCAGAATATTTTGTAGGAAATAACTTTATCAATGTATGTCATCAATTAAAAACAATGTCTTTCCCTGTAATTGTCGAAGGTATTGTTACTATAATGACCCAAATTTTAATTGATTAATAAATTCTTATTTATCATTTTTAAAATCTTGCATTTATGGAAATTTGGCTGGGAGCTATTTGACATTGTGCTGGTGAGCGCATTGGCACTTGCCTCTCTATTTGGAGTGCTCCAAGTGATTAGGGGTGGAGGCACTAGCTTTAGCATATTAGCGTTAATTTTTCTATTCTATAGTGTTTGGGGTCTGCGTTGTGGCACTGTGATCTCGAGACTACGGTGCTAGGTCATTGAAATTTTGTTTAATATCTCATTTTACTATTGCATTTAAGTACAAAAGCCATCCCCATAAGTCCTCATTTTCAATGCTCTTGGACGAGGAAGAGGAGAGAGAGGAGAGAGAGGAGAGAGAAAGTTTACCTCATGTCATTTATGTCTATCATTTCAGTTAACAAAGTTGTTCTGATCGTGTTAGATAATCTTAATCTTACTTATATTTTCAATGATTTTGATTTTAAGATCTCTCTCTCTCTCTCTCTCTCTCTGATATCATGGAAATGTATTATCTTTTGATTTAACGAACTTTTACTGTATAACTTTTGATATGTCGTAAATATCTTCATAATGAACGTCTTGACATGATCATATTGCAAAATTATTGGGTGGTTTTACAATTATGATATTGTACCTAAAATGATAAGAATAAAGGCATATTAGAAATGAATTAGGACTCATACAATTATTCTATTAGGCATGATATGACATGCATCTATTATAGTTAATCTAACATAACATGCATTTTGACGTCATGAGTGCAATAATAAGATACACATATTGATAGGCATACTAAATATATATTTGTTATAGTCTATGATACTAATATAATTTTCATCTATTACACATGATAAGTGCATAACTTTGTGTATGTGTGTATCTACAAGAAAGGCTAACTAAAGATGTGATTGATTTAGGTTGGCCAAAGATATATTATCTAGTAGAAAAAGGTGGGCCGGTAGACTTCTTTAAATAAATATTTGTGGTGTAATCCAAAAATATAATAAAAGAGAAGTATAAGAAGAATGATATATGATATGACTGATGGGAAGCGACGACTTGTACATGAAGCCACCTGACTTATTAACTTTTGACTTGTAATTTTTTTACTATGAACTTTGGGTAATTTTCTATAAATGATTGTTAACTTTAAATTAATTAGAAATTATGAGCCTTACAATGCTTATAAGGATTGTAAGTAACCAAGATTTGGTGCCTAAGAAGTTAAAGTTCAAGATATGAAATCCTCTTTGTGGCATCGTGGTGCCAGTGTAAACGATGCTCTAGAATTGAACTCTCAGGATTTTAGATTAAAAAAATATGTTTGGGCATGCGGTGTAGTGCTGCATCTCAGGTGAGAATAGTTTGAGATAATTTAGAAGACTCTGTGGGCGCACAGTGGTGTTAGGTTAGAATAGTGGCATGTGGCATATTACTGGAAATTCATGCATCATTTGAATATGATATTAAATATCTAATTTAATTATTATTACATTAGATTGCACTTTTCATTACATAGCATTGAAGCTATTATGTACTTAAATGTGGAAAAATGAACTCTTTGTTATATTATAAGGGACCTAAATGTACTCTTTCAACTCTATTTGTCTGATGTAAATATGGGAGGGATTCTAGTCTCACTTGTTGAAAGTAGGTTTGGGGGATTAAGTAACACTGAAAATACTCTTTCGGCCCCATCTGCATGATGCGATTGTGGCAGAGATTTTGGCCCCACATGCTATATGCAGGAGGTAAGGGAGACATAAGTGAAAATAAAGCTGTAAGCAAACATCAGGACATATACATTATAATAATTTCATTTCACATGTTGGTGTTTTAATGAATTAAGTTAAAGAAATATTTTGAGATATGCATTAATAAACTCTGAACCTCTATTTGAATTTTGTTGGAAAAGTATATATGAAAGTGAAATGCAACTAGATATCTGAGAATGTGTATTTTGTACTGCATCTGGATATTTCTGTGAAAGTGGTTATGTGGTTATAAAAGTATAAATACTAGCCCCAATATTAGGTATATACTGGAACTAATAAATTTAGGTTTTATTTATACTTTAATTATTTCTCAAGTTTATATTTTTCTTTAATTAGTTTCTTTGATTATTTGCATTGAATATTTATACCTATGAAGGGTGAAGGAAGGAGTCTACTGAGCTAGTTTATCTCACTTTATTTATTTTTAAGATTTTAGGAAAAGGGAAGGGCTTGATTGAGTAGAGTGTAGAAATAGGCTAGTGCTCGAGGTACTGATTTTTGTAATCTAGTTTATTTGTTCTAATATATACATTTTTTTTGCTATGGATTTTGTATTTATGTTTTGATGGAATTAAATTTGATTATTCTATATTTATATTTTGGAAATTTAGTAGCTTTGGTTATAGTTATAGGAGGATAAGTTAATTAATTATAAGTTTAAGTAAGTCCAATCCTTCCATTAGGTCTTAGGGCGTCATAGGTGGTCTTAGAGTAATAATTTGGAAGGATTAGAAATTATAACCAAATCTATAGAAAAATGAATTGTATGGGTAATGAGTTTAGAGTCTAGTATAGACTATTGTATGTTAATTGTGTTGTATAGTTGAATTCCTCTATTCTTAATTATATTAAAGTTTTTTGTTGTATCATGAATGCCTAAGAGCAAGAGGCAACTAATAAATAAAGTTTCAGTCAAGCTGCAATATATCAAAGAACTATCATGTTGATGAATTTTGATTCAATGATGTAGCTTGCTAGGTTAGTGGTTTGTCTAATGAGTGAGGCTCAGGGTAGAACGTATACAGTAAAGAGGGGGGGGGGGGGGGGGGGGGGGGGAAGAATTTTGGTGAGGTGGATAAGAATTTGCATTTATTTTTGAGGTTGAAGCCATCTCATTTTTAGGGTGTTGTTAAGCCTTAAACAGTTGAGGATTACTTGATAAGAGTAGTCCTTTGATAGTATACAGTGCTTGGAGGGAAAAAGAGTTTCATTGGTAGTGTTTTTTTAGATGGAGAAGCAGAGCACTAGTGGATAGGCCAACAAAGAGAGATATTTCAGGGCAAGTTGAATGTAGAGATCAGTTAGGAATAGCTCAATAGACTTTTATGAGTTATTCTATTAGGTCTGAGAGATAATTTAAGGGATCCATGGTCCTATTTAATATTAGTGACTTTTTTGGGCTCGTAGAAAGTTGAGGTTGATGGAGAATGATTTGATGTCCATCCATTATTGATGGGATGCTAGAAAAAAAGTTTTTGATGAGAACCTTCTAGAAGTATATTCAGTGGTAAGAGATCTAGAATGGAAGATGGTGATTCTAGGGGGGAGGATCGATATTATTTAGAAGTATTAGAGGATATGTAACTGTTAGCAGTGCATCTATTTATGATTTCTATAGGCAGAGACATACTACCCGATGTTATCTATATATGAGTATATGCTTTAGATGTGGCCAAGAAGGTCATAAAGTGGCACAGTGTCCGCATAGAGCGCCAAAAGATAAACCTGAAGATGGGGGTAGTCAAAGGAAATATCTAGCCCCTTCTAGAGCTATCAATGAGGCCTTTTTTACCTCGTAGTGGAGGCAAAGTTGGAGGAAGACCATTTCAATTATTCTGAGTGCAGCTCCAGTTCATCCTAAAGTTTACATTCTAACTGAGTAAGAGACGAGGGAGGCACCAGAGGTAATGCTAGGTATGACATACGTTTCTTAGCAATCTTATAATATTATTTTTTATTTTGGTGCCAATCATTCTTTTATACATGGGTGTCTTCTAGATGATTTAAGTTTAGCATGTATTTCATTATATCCTAAGCAATCTTTTAAATTTTTGACGAGGAATTTGATGTTTTCTAATGAAGTATGTGGGTGTAAGCTTGAAATTTTTAGTAGGAACACTATATGTTAACTTTGAAGGAGTTTGATGTGATAATAGGCATTGATTGGTTGAGTAGGTATCAGGCTCAGATCGATTACTATAAGGAAAGAGTGAGTCTATGTGTAAACAGATAAATGTTTTATTTTCTGGGTGATAAGAGTTATTTATCATTCTTAATATATGTATTACAAGTGGATAAGGCCTAAAGAAAAAGTGATTATGTATTTTTGGCCTATGTAAGAGATTTAAATAAATCTGTTAAAGATCTTAAATATGTTCTTTTAGTGAAGAAATTTCCTAATATTTTTTTCTGAAGAGTTATATGGGTCTTCTCCCCAGAGAGATATATAATTCTATATTAAGGTGGCGTCGGGTGCAACTCTAATAGTAAAGACTCTGTATAGGATGACACTTAGGGAATTACATGGAGTTGAAGATCTAATTACATGAGCTATTGGATAGAGGTTTCATCAAGCCTAATGGATTGCCTTAGGGAGCTCCTATATTATTGTGAAGAAGGAAAGATCTTTGAGGATGTGGATGGATTATCGGGAGCTGAAAAAATGATAATGAAGAATAAGCATCCGCTGCCCATGATAGATGGTATGCTTGATTAGTTGGAAGGAGTAACAATATTTTCTTAGATTGATTATCATCAATTGAGGGTGAAAGTTAATGATATAGCGAAGATGGCTTCAGCACCAGATACAATGTAATGCCCCCAGACCTAAATTAAAAGAATTACATCTTTTTATCATCTCTTTAATCTATCAGAGCCACTGATTTCATTCTACATCAATTAAACCCATGAAAGCATCAATATATACATCACTATTTAAAATCCATATACAATAATCATAAGTTTAATCTATAACATTCATCTATTACAACCCCTATGATTATGAAAAAAAAAAAGAATACAAGAAAAATAAATAAAATATGAAGTTTGGCTCTGATCAATCTCACTCAGCTGGTCCCCTGTATGAACCTGAACATTAATTAATGTCACATAATGAGCACACAATCCAACAAGTAATTAAAACCCATCTATACACTCAATACAAGATCTAAAGAATCAATATGCATGCTCAACTCCATCAATACAAAATTAGTAGTCATCAATATGAAATAAACTATCATTATCAATATATCAATAGAAATTCAAAATGATAAGTAAAACAAAAATTATATCAAAGAAGAATAGTAGTCATTAAAAGTTTATAAAGTAATGTTAGGTACTATACAATAAAGCATATTTTGATTGTCTATCAATTATATTCATGGCAATGATTCGATAATATAGTTTTTATTAATAATCATACAAGATGTACATGTATATCAACATGTCATACCAGTATGCTATATAGTGTATCTGCCCCATGCTAAGTTATGTTGTATCGATTTCAATGCTAGCTTTATCAATTCTATCTATGAGTAAGTTCTTGTGCTATCTTGTAAATGTAATCATGAATGTAATTATAAATAGCAATGCAAGATATCCAGCTTAAATGGAGACTTTTATGAAAGTGGTTATGTGGGATATAAAAATTTAAATGCTAGCCCTGAGATTAGGTATATACTGGAACTCTGATATATTTAGGTTTTGTTTAATTGTTTCATAAGTTTTTATGTTTTACTTTAATCAATTGCTTTTAAATGTTTGAATTGAATATTGATACATGTGAAGGGTGAAGGAGGGAGCCTATAAAGCTAATTAAGCTCACTCTATTTCTTTTATAATTTAGGAAAAGGGAAGGGACCAGTTGAGTAGAGGAGTGTAGAAGAAGGCTTATGAGGTCTAGTGCTTGAGGTACTGATTTTTGTAATACAATTTATTTATTCTAATATCTAAATATTTTTTCTATAAATTATGTATTTATAATTTAATGGAATGAAAGTTGATTATGCTGCATTTATTAGTGGCTCTGGTTGTGGTTATTGGAGGATGAGTTTATTAATTATAGGTTTAAGTAAGTTCAATTTTTTCATTACATCCCAAGGCATCACATGATTGATGAGACTAATACTGGTATGACTTATTCCTATAGGTTTGGCCTACAATACATGATATGATTGATACAAAAAAATATCATTGTGCCAAATGCCCTAACTTTCATAGTATTGTATGATATGTGTACATGATATTATTTTATATGATAAGACATGACATAACATGAGACATGCATAAGTTATATGATATAACATGATATATAATCAGATTGATACATGTATAAGATACATTATACAATGATATATGGTATGCATATACTAATGTTGTTACATGATATAATGATACATGTTATACATATATTAATATGATATATGAAATGCATAACAGCATATATGTTGATATACATGACATAACATAGAAATGACATTCATGATATTAATGATACATTGATAAATGCAAGTACATAAACAAGAAATATTGATACCAATGTCATATAGACATATACTGATAAATGATACAATCACATTGATTCACATGGTAACATTTCACACCACATTCAACATGATATAATGGGATATGACAGAGTTAGTGATAATTGATACTAATTTGGAACTTAGATTCCTATTCTGGCATATAAATGAATAATATAGATTACACTAATAAAAATGTTACATATATATTACTATTCACACTAATCACCATAGTTCATACTAATATGCTACTATTTATATGAATTAATATTATTTATAATGACTGTTACATATTCATATTGATTTGATTTGAATGATTTCATGCATATTATTTTAACTTTTCGTGCATTGATTGAAGCTATATATTTTGGTGATGTATTGGATTGTTAGATCATTATGTAGTTTACATGTTTCAGGGAAGGATAATGACCAATAGAGTAAGAATAATTCATATTTGCTAGCATAAGTGTTTTACTTTCTATCATTTATCCTTTGGTAGTCATGGAAATTATAATAAACTATTGTAATTGATGGTAGTCCATGGCTATTGTATATAATTCTTTTGGGACTATATATATTGATGAAGAAATAAAATGTTTTTTTTTTTGTTATAATAAATTTGTATATGGATGTTATTAGTGGCTCTAATATATAATTATATGATAAAAGATATAATTATTCCAAATTAAATCTTGGGACGTTATAATTACAAAGGACTAGATATTAATTGAGGATGATGAATTACATGATGGAATTTTAAGATATTTAAGGCATGTGATCTATCTTCCATAAATTATTTGTGGTTTGTTTGATTGTTCTATTGTAAGGAAAGGAAAACAAAGAATAAGAAGTCTAGTATTAATCTTATTATTGATATATGGAGTAAGATTTGGTGTCAACAACATCAATTAATTTTAATGATGATAAAGTGGGTCAAGTTTGTTGCCGATAGTAAGTGATGAGTTAGTGGTCATCGACGTTACTGTCAACAGTGTGCATCGACATTATAAGCAATTATTTGCATCAATATTTTTGGCTAAAGTAGGTGGTAAACTCAATGGGCACTGATGTTAGTGTTGATAATATGCATTAGCCTTATAGTCAGATGGATTATGTCAATATTGGTGGTGACGATGAGCGTTGATAATTGAGCAATAGTAGTTGGGTGATGATAATTGGGAGGCCATACTCAAGTGAAGGTGATCAATAGGTTATAATTGGTTGATGGTGGTTAGAAATTTATAGTCAATCATTGAAAGTTAGGTGATGATAAATGGGCAATAATAATGGGTGATGGTAGCTGAAGTTGTTGATCAATGACATTAAAAATCACATGGAGCTCCGGAATTCTTTAAAAATGTAAGCTCTCCCCAATTATAAGTCAAGACTTGAGCTTGAAGAACCCCTTTCACGTGGAAACTATGGATCTTATAATAGATTTTTAGAATTCCATTTTATTAAAATTGGTCAACATCCTAAAACACTCAATTAGATGGCTCGCATTGATTCTACTAATAAATTACTATTACTTATCATTTAATTACGATCATTTAATTGTCTAGATGACCCCGTAATTAAATGATCTTAGACTCATTGGATTCCTCTTATTGAATACTTAATTTGATTATAAGTACTCTTAAATTTAGTCATCCAATTAAAATGTTTAAGTTTTGGATTCTGATTGGAACTCTTAAGGTATTGTTAAGCTCTTCCCATCAAGATTTTTGTTTTGACTATGGGTTTGCTTAATCAAGATTTAAATGGTCTTGAATTTAATTCCAAAAGTTTTCAACTCAAATATTGTATCAATATTCCTACTCGAGCAAATGAATTTGGTTATGTATCATTTATAGCGGATATTGTCCTTTTCTTTTGGTTTTGGAGGCACTAATGTATGTCACTAGTTATAAATGATACAATTCCATATGATTAGGGAGACATTAATACAAATTAATAAACATAAACTATAGACATTAGGAGTTTGAGTTCGTGTCTATAGAATGCATTAGTCTTATTGGTGATTACATACGTCGATATTGTAGGTGATGATAGGTGACAAAGTTTGAGGAGAGGAGGCCAAAGATCAAAAAGCTCTAAAGTCCAAATAGTTGCTATCATTTATGCATCTTCCTTGATTCTAGTGGAAACTCCAACTCATTTCCAACGAAAAGAAAAAATAACAGGTCACATCTTTTAACCTTCTTGATGTCTTTATCTTCGGTCAACATCCCATTACTCTCTACTTCTTTTATATTTTTATTTTGTGTATCATCATTAAATCCAAGCCTTAACTGTATAGTTTAGAGCAGTTCCTTCTTTTATTTATGAAAAAATAAGACTCGCGTGCCATTTGAAAACAGGTAATGAAATGCTTAATGTCATGTGCAGAGAGATGCTTCAAACGCAAAAAACACAAATTTTTAATATTGAGCTGTTTGTCGTAGCTCAGACTCAGATGAGGAAGGAATAGTCTTCCTCCACGTTGCTCGAGGGTCCTTCTAAAATTCTGCTTGAGATATTTTGATCAATATATTTGCATAAAAAATAAACTGCCGTGACCAAATTTCCTCCTCTAAGACAAATGATAATTTTTATTTTAATATTATTAGCCGTTTCTCTCTTCCTCCTCTCTCTAAATAGGCGCGCTTTTGGGTTTCTTCTCCGAGTTCCATTGTCTACCACCATCCTTCCTTTGCAATTAGCAATCAGCAATAATTAGCATGACCATGACCATGACTACACCTGTTAGGTTCCGGCCATCGTCTTCGCTCCTCCCAGGCTCAACAGCCGTTCCAAACAAATTCCTAACATCAAGATTCACGTTCCGACCCGAAAGAAGGATCTGTTCCAGACCTCCGCCGGCGCTACGACCGCTCTCTATTCAGCGGCTGGCGGAGCACCGTTATGACGACGATGAACAGAGTGCTGTTGCTCATAATTATAAACAGCAAAAAGTTCGATCCTTGCTTATTGATAACTATGACAGCTACACTTACAACATCTACCAGGAACTCGCTATTGTTAATGGAGGTGCTTTTTTTTTTTTAATTATTATTAATGGTGTCCTAACCTATCCTTTTATATTCTTTTCTTACAACGACTTCGCATTAACTTCTTCATCATGCAATAATAGATAGCGAATTTCTTCCAATCAGTGGAAATTGATGGCTATTTATTTGCCTTGTAATAATTAAGCTTTGCAACTTAATTACAATACAAATATCAGTTTTGAAATAGATCCACTTTAGGCCTGTTTTTGTTTGTTTGTTTGTGAACTAACCAAAGTTATTTTTAGTTCCACCTGTGGTCATTCACAATGATGAATGGAGCTGGGAGCACATCCAACCTTTCTTATACAAAGAAAATGCTTTTGATAACATCATCATCTCACCAGGCCCCGGATCTCCAGCCTCCCCAAAAGATATAGGTAATAATTAATTTGATTTCTATTTGGCTAGCTAGCTGCTTTTATATATTTTATTTTTTTGTTGTTTAGGTGTATGCCTGCAAATACTCGCTCAATGTGAGGACATACCAATATTGGGAGTTTGTCTAGGCCATCAGGTGGGCTTCTAGCAATCATAATTTTTATCCAATCTTAGTTTTAAAAAGATGAAATTAATACTAAAAAATAGTTATATCTTGGTTTTATTAAAAAATTAAGGATATGTTTATGGTGAAAAAGAATTTAAATTATTTGACATACTTCTAGCTTCTTTTTATTCATAATTAATTATTTTGCAGGCATTGGGATATATTTATGGTGCTCAAGTTATTCATGCCCCTGAACCAATTCATGGACGCCTAAGGTAGACTCATTACAACTTTTTAAATAATCACATCATTACATATATTCAGATATATACCTTTGATTCTTAAAAGCAAGTATGTCTATTTATTGTACAGTGAAATTGAACATACTGGATGTGAACTCTTTAATGGTATACCGTCAGGAAGAAACTCAGGATTTAAGGTTAGTATATCGTAGCTATTGAAAACTACTTTTTATTAAGAACTTTTAGAATCTGCATTGCATTTTAAATAAACTTAAAGGAATGCCATCATCACCCGCAAAATAGCAAGGTTAGATATTGGGTAGCGGCACTAGGAGCATATCCCACCCCATTATATTGTTGGATTGGGTGACTTACTAATCATCATGCTTCATAAATCTCTCTTTATTTTATTATTTGGTATAAATATTTACATGAAATACACGTAAGGCAAATTCCATGAATATAAAGGAAGAAATTACAAATACGGAAGTGCCTCAATCTTAGGAGAGATTATTACGTGCGGAGACCAGACACAGAGAATCATTTGATTTTTCTCTGTGAACAGTAAAAGTGTAGTTACTATTCATCCTTGTGCTTTTAGTGTTTATTGTTGCACTTTTACTGTGCTATAAGTTAACACTTAGTCTTGATTGGTGCCAAAGGGATTTTTTGGCTATAAATTGGATTCACTAAAATCTTGCAAATAAGGAACAATAATTCTTTAGTATTAAATTTTAAAAATTATTTGACATGATAAATATAAAATCTTATTGAATTCTCCTAAATTATTTGAATGTGTTTCAAGATTTTGAGAGAAAGAAATTTTTTAACTTCATTCAATCTTGTGAATTGTATAATATTTAATTAATAATGGTGTTTAACAGGGAGGATTTAAAATCCCCAAAAATCTGTTCATCAATATTTCTTAAATCTCACCTAAAGTAGGATGCCAAACATCCCCAAAATATTTCTCAAAATTTTCGCTTTTTCACTTCGACAAAATTTAAGTGCCTGTGCTTCAAGAGATTCTCGTTCTATGAAAAAAGTATACAAATTTATAGCTTGGATATCATATTTTACTTCTAGCAACAACTAAGACATGATCCATCTTTTCATAAAACTAAATTAGTATCAATTGCAGGTCATGAGATATCATTCCCTTGTCGTAGCTGCAGAATCACTTCCCAGGGAACTTGTTCCTATAGCATGGACTACGTCTGAGGAAACACATTCTTTCCTTGGGACTGAACAATCTGACATGAGCCCAACTCTTCAAACAAATAAATTGCTACAAGTTGGTGATTTATCTGCTAGTGTTAGCTATGTAGGTTATAAAGATGTTACTAACTCAAAAATCATTGACAGAAATAAGATACTTATGGGTGTCATGCACTCCACTAGGCCTCATTTTGGTGTGCAGGTATCTTTCTGTACAATCTAATTTCCTTAACTTATTGTTCTTATAATTCTGCTTTTAAATTGGGTTTGGTACACAGTTTCATCCAGAGAGTATTGCCACTAGCTACCGTAGACAAATTTTTGAGAATTTCAAGAAGATGACTGTTAATTATGGGTTGAGGTCCACCTTGCATCAAGAACCAAAGGTAAACATCAACTCAAAGTTTAATTTCCGAAGAGTCAATACATATAACAATTCCTAGTCAATACATATAATTTGGTCTTACTAGAAGTTTATTTGTCATCCTGATAGTATTAAGTAGTGATATTGATCATAAACAGTTCAAAATTCCCTCACTCTAATTTTTGTCCAAAGAAACAAAAAGTTCATAGTATAACTAAATTGGTTCAAATTTAGTAAGTTTAGGTATATTTACTAAAATGTACACACTTAGAAAATTTAAAAATTATTTTGACCATTTACTCAATTTTCAAATAAAGTTAAAACATATGTTTGATGAATTGATGTATTTTAAATTACCTTGCGGAAGTGTTCTCCATTTTAAAAACTTTGGATTCTATTAATGTTACTTATGTTACCCAGTAGAATCATTAACCCAGGTACAAAATGATGCAGGCCTCTTTTACACCTAGATTATTTGAAGAGTTTAAAATTAACAAGTTACTATGTAATGGAGTTATAATAAGAGACCATTCAACACCAAAGAGTTTGGATGCCAAATATCTTAAATTGCAGTGGAAGAAAATTGATTGCTTTGCAAGTCAGGCTGGGGGACCTGAAAACATATTTTGCAACCTATTTGGAGATAAAAATGCTGAAAACACTTTTTGGTTAGACAGCTCTTCCACAGAAAAGGTAAATTATAATTTATTGAACTTGCATATATCTATACATAGAGCACTAGTTTTTTTTATCATTTTTTTTTCTTGAAGTTGTGGAGCCTACAAAAAAGTTATTATGTCCATTGTTGCTGGTAATTTAACTTAGCTCATGAATTTCAGGGAAGGGCTCGCTTTTCATTTATGGGTGGTAAAGGTGGTTCTCTCTGGAAACAAATGACATTTCATCTCTCTAAACACAGGTTTCTATTGACTTCCATCCATTTCACTTGGTTTAATTAGAACATAGTTACATGTGCGATTTAATAATGCTAGATATAACCAAATAACACTAATAAATTTCACTATAATGATAACCAGATCTGGCGGCTGCATATCAATTCAAGATAATAATGGATATGTCAAAAAAGAGAATATTGAAGATGGTTTTTTAGATTTCTTGGATAAGGTAATAGCTTCAGAGTTGGTTGCTTGCTTTACTGTTTATTTGTGATTAATTAACCCTCCTCTTTTATTTTAAATAGGAGCTTAATTCATTTCATTATGAAAAGAAAGATTATGAAGGGTTGCCCTTTAATTTTTGTGGAGGATATGTAGGTTATTTTGGGTATGTTCTTCCTTTTATTGTCTATTTAATTTTGTGTGATTGTTAATTTTTGCCTTTTTTCTCTTCTCTCAATAATAGTATTTTGATTGCTCAGAATTTTTTATGATTTATTAGATAAATTTGTTTACATATTTTTTCGAGGGAAAAAACTAATGGCTAGAGGATGTAGAATTCATATTAAGTAGAAGTCTTCCAGGAGAAAACAATGGCTATGAGATTTTATGGCGAGAGAGATTATTGAAGATAAACATGGTCTAAAAATAACTAGTATATAGACTTGGTTAGAATTACTTAGTTGAGGAATTGCCATGGGAAAAGCTGAGTTTTTAAAAATACTTGTTGGTATTATATAGGTTTTTTGTAGAAAAAGTCATCTCACATGCACCCTAATAAACAAAGAAAATTTTCTTGCAGTTGTTTTTTTTTTGTCTGGGGTTTTTTTTTTTTTTTTGTAGTGAAGTTTGTTAGGAATGGACAAATTTCTCAACTGTTAATAGCTTTAGTAGTACTGAAAAGAATTGCACATAATTCAATAGTCCTTTTTTTATGACAAAATCTAACTTGGCTTATCCCATAACCTGCAATACTTAGTATTAGGTAGATCCAACTATTAATTATTTATTGTATCCCTTATTTACTGCTTGTTGTTAGAAACTTGCATACAATTTCTAATAATTTTTCTCCGCATACAGGTATGATCTAAAAATTGAATGTGGTGCCACATCTAATAGCCACAAGTCTGTAGCCCCTGATGCTTGCTTCTTCTTTGCTGACAACCTACTTGTTATTGATCATAGCAATGATGATGTTTATATTCTACAAGTACATGATTCGAGTAACTTGGGAACTAAGTTGAAATCACCAAAAGGTTTCGATGAGGAACCATGGTTGAACAAAATTGAAAAGAAACTATTTAGTTTAAAAAGTCCTACAAAAGTGTTTAACATCCAAAAATCACAAGCAGGGCTGTCAATCCCATATAACAGAAGCTTTGTTGTAGACAAATCAAAGCATCAATACATGAAAGATGTGGAAAAGTGTTTAGAATTAATTAGAGATGGAGAAAGCTATGAGCTATGTCTGACAACACAGGCAAGAATGAGAGTGGTAAACACAGATACTCTGAACTTTTATCTTAAATTGAGAAAGAAAAATCCAGCTCCATATGCAGCTTGGATGAATTTTTCAATGGAAGAATTATGCATTTGTAGCTCCTCTCCTGAAAGATTTCTACAGCTAGATGAAAATGGAGTGCTTGAAGCAAAGCCAATTAAAGGTACAATGGCTAGAGGCACGACAACAGAGGAGGATGAGTGTTTAAGACTGCAACTTCAATATAGTGAGAAGAACCAAGCTGAAAATCTCATGATTGTTGATCTATTGAGAAATGATCTTGGTCGGGTTTGCGAACCAGGTAGTGACTGTGTGCCTAAACTAATGGAAGTTCAGTCTTATGCAACTGTCCACACTATGGTTAGCACAATCCAAGGGAAGAAGAAATCGAACACAAGTGTTGTTGATTGCATCAAAGCCGCCTTCCCTGGAGGTTCAATGACAGGAGCTCCAAAGCTAAGATCTATGGAACTGCTTGACTCTATTGAGAGTTCATCAAGAGGTGTATACTCGGGTTCCATAGGATTCATCTCATATAACCAACGATTTGATCTTAATATAGTGATTAGAACCATTGTTATACACAAAGGAGAAGCATCCATTGGAGCTGGAGGGGCAATCATAGCTTTGTCTGATCCAGAAGACGAGTATGAGGAAATGTTGCTTAAAGCAAAGGCTCCAATTCAAACCGTGGAAGATTGTTGTAGAGGTTTACATTATACATAGATAATGCAAGTTATAACTATTTTGCCTTTTTTTTTATTTTTTTTGGGGGGGGGGGGCGGGGGAGGGGGATATATATTCTTGTTCTTTAGTGGCTAACCATTGCTCAATTACAATGGTAGAGGCCATGGATATGATAAGATGTAGCATTGATGTTTAACGTTGTGCCTTGTAGCTTGATTTATTTGTGAATGATAAAGCAATTCAACAACTTCTTTTGAAAAGAGTTTCACTTTCTCATAACTATTACTCCCCTAGAAAACTACCACAAGGACTTGGAGACTTGGGTTTCGTTTGGGATGACTTTTTTGTTGCTTCTTAAAACAGCTTTTTAGTACAAATATTAAAATTTTTATACTAGAAAGCTGCTTTAAAAAGCAATAAAAAAGCTGTCCCAAATGAAGCCTTAGTTGGAGTTAAGAGCTTCTTTGGTTGCTTGTAACTTTTTTTAAAACATGATATTTTCATTTCACTGACTTTATGAGTGAAAATTAAATCAACACATTATTGAGGAGATTTTTAAGAGGGTCAGTGGATTTTAAAATTGATTTTAATTTTTAATTACATTGAACCAACTGATTAATCTAACAAATAATATCTTTTTGGTTTCAAGCTACCAAATGAGCCCTAAAGGAAATATGTACTTCTCAAATAAGGTGATTAGTTATGGGGATTTTAGAGAGATTTCTTTGAAGTTTTAGTGTAGCTTTCTCTTTTTTATGGAAAGAATTGGTACCACTAATGTTTCATATGTTTTCTCTAAAATAAGAACAAAACTCTAAAGCTTTAACATAACATATCCAAGTATACAAGTTCAAATCATTAATTTTAAATTAACAAGTTCAAATCAATAAACTCTTGCCAACAAATCAAAATCAAATATAATTCAACAAGTCATCAATTTTAGCGCTATCTTTGTCATACCTATAGAAATTATAAATCTAAACAACATAGCACTCATTAAACCATGGATTCAAAATACAAACATAATAAGGCCAGTACATAAGCCATGTGATGAGGACATCGGACGATATTGACGAGTCTATCAGCGTAGGAATCATAAATCGATGGCTACGATTCACAATAGTTATTTTTGATGTATTTATGTATTGTAGTTTATTTACTAATTATGATTGCACCCTTTCTTTTGAGTGTGTTTGAGTTGTAGCCCAAGGGGAATTTGAGTCATTGTTATTTTATTTGATAGGCCTATATATTGTGGCCTCTTCTATTGTAATGGGATGAAGAATGATTACTAATGAAAATTCAGCTTTCTTATTCTTGATCTCTTTGTGAGTTTTTGAGAGGAGAAACCCTAAAAGAGGGTCACGCATCACCCGTCAGCCGCTGGTAGATTCTGAGACTCACGATTAGTACTCGTAGTATTTTCTTATCGTTTCTTCCATTTCCCTACATCCGGCCACCTCTTCTTCCCCAAACACCCGCCGGCCACTTCAAGTTCTCAAGCCATCGGTCAATCTCAACAAGATCCCTTCCACTTAACCTACATCCCTTCCTCAGCCAAACGCCACCCAAACTCCAAACCCTAACCGCCGGCGTTTCCCTCCCATGGATCCAAAATTGATTGTCTTACCTCTTTCCAAAAGTGGAGCATGAAGATTAGGAGAGAACTCCAATTCAAAATCTGATTTCAAATTTATATTTTGAATTCTTTCCTAAATTGACATAATCCATATTAGGAAAGTGCTCAATTCCTGAATCTAATTTACTTAGCACAACCCCTTGGCCGCTAGCTTGAAGCCTCCAAACCCCGCCCTTTCTCTCCCTAACCCGCCACCCTCACCACCTACCTAAGCCGCCAACCTCCTCTCATCCACCCGCTGTCGGTTTCCCCAAGCCCTTCACTGTCGGCCTCCCCTAGCCTCCACTAGCCGCGGGCCCCTCCCTACCATGACCCTTGAATTTTGAATTTCTAATTTCAAATCAATCTTAATTACTTTCCTAATTTATCCCTCCATTAATTTGGAAAGTTGCCTCATTTGAATTCAAATTATATTGGAATTTCAAAACTTTCCCTATTAACCAACTTAAATTAGGAAACCTCTCAATTACATTAAATCTGAAATCAATTTCAGATTTAATAACAATCCCTAATTAAATCCTTCCTGAGACCATATATCGAACCTAGACACATCCAAGCCCCCCCTATGGCTGGCCTCTATATGGCTCTTCTCTCTCTCCAATTCTCCATTAATTCACATTAAATATTCCCCTTAATCTCCTCCTAACCATCGACCCCATTATAGGCCAAATTGGGATAATTTTGAAATTCAAATTGATCCCTCCCTCTCTTAGTAAAATCTTAATTTAACTTCAGATTTTCTAAACCCCTCCTTCCACCCCACTAGACCTAACCCTAGATGCCCCCTCCTTTTTCCCTTCTCCACCCCAATTCTCTAACACCCCCCCCCCCCCCCCCCCCCCCCCCCCCCCCCCCCCCAGTTCTCCTTCTCCTTTCCCATCGTCAGTTCCCCTTTAAGGCCACGAAGAACGAAGAGGCTCCTCCTAGTCCATGGATGGTGGATTCCGACATTGATCTCAGGTTTGCATATAATAACCAAGGAAGGATGAACATTCCACGATCCACCTTCTTTGATTTGAACTTGAACGTCGACGACTCCATGGAAGACTACATTGACCGCATCACCTTCACGTTGGCACTGACAATTGAGGAGCACCTCCTAATCAAATCGTGGTTGATTATGGGATGCCCACCAATCCATCTGTCGCTGGCAACCTTTCCATTGATCAACAAAGATCTTAGGCGTCTTCTTCCTGGTGGTGATCTCTTTTCTAGTGTCGAGTATCTTCTTTCGCTAATCCCACGAGTGAATGAGTGAGAAGGTCCTCAAGGTGAAACCTCTCATTATTAAATTGTGGATTTTTGTTATACTCTCACAAAAGTTACTCTTACCTTTGGAGTTTGATTGAATTGTCTTGTTAATCTAACGTGCACTTCTTTGCCTAAGCAAGTTGAAACTATGAATTCCTATAATTTTTCTTTGTTGTGAATGATAACTTTATATTGGAAAGCTTCCAACAACTGCTCTTATTAATTTCTTGCTAACTCTTGGTAGTTTCACATCATCTTGGTATCAGAGCATGGTTAGCATGTGTCACATATGCTATAAGTTATCCTAGGAGTCTACTTAACCATCCCTTAGCTTGTTTGCATGCATAGCATCTTATTTATAAATCTTATATCAAGTTGTTTTTGCTGTCCTTTACTTTCAATAGCATTTTAGCAAGCTTTAGGTGCAATGTCTCATAAGATTAAGTGCTGTATTCAACCCCACAACCTCCCTAATCACCTAGATGAGTTAATTCACTATTTTAGTTTGCTGCTCAGTCATTTCCTGCAACTTTTAGCGAACTTTAGGTGAGTCTGATTAAGTGTTTAGGTGCTATCCTCAACCCAACAACTATCCTAATTGCCTAGATCACTTAAGTCTCTCTTGTAGCTTGCTGTCTAGTAATTAAGGCTAGTCATCAAACATATATATAGAGATACATAGTATATGGTGTATAGTAGCAACATGGGTTTAATTTTTTAAAAATTAATATTTAAAATAAAAAATTTACCACCTTGCACTTAACATGAATGGTGGGGGGAGTGATGATAGACTTGATCTAGTTCTCATGGTTTCGTCATCCCAGACCATCATTGTCCCTGGTCTACTTAGTCTGAGGAGGTAGTCGACCCAACATGACAGGAGGAACCTTGTCATCAACCCTGGGTTGCTTCGTCCAAGGGTACCTCATTGACGTGGGGTGAATCTTTATCTAAGGGGACAAATTTGAATCCACCTTAGCTAACATAGCTATTTAGATATATCAATTATATCATATTAATTCGTATCTCAAGAATTTGAAGTTATTGGGAAACATGCGGACTAAGACCATGATCATAATTTAGTGGTGGCATTTAGCTGCAAAACCATTCGGTTTAGAGGGTCATAATCATAACCGTTTATCTGTGGTGCCATTTGTCGACGAAACCATTGGTTAGAGTACATGTGCCATGTCCTTACAGGAAAGAGACAGATTGAGAATGAATTCTAACTGGGGCTCATACGGATGTATATGTTTACATGTATTTTTGTATAAAGTATTTGTATAATAATTATACGTATGCAGTGCTATATGTGTATACACATGTTTGTGTGTATGCATGTATGAATGCATCAACACTCTTTCGATGCATGAGGGGGTATTTTAAATGCTTGACACAGATTAGCTAGAAGGATCATCATTTGAGTGTGCACATCATATTATTTAGAAACATTTACATGCCTTTTGTCTGCTTATATGAGTGTTGCAGATCTGGTGGCATTACATTGCATTATGGTTATTGCTGCTTTTTATAGATGAGTTATTATTGAGAAATGCACAGGGATCCAATTGGAAATTTATAAATTCCTTATGTCGGCTCTTATGCATGTTATGAATCCGGTGGCATGGAGTTGCCCCTTAGTGGCCGCAAGTTTTACTACTAATTCCTTGCTTTTGCTTACAGATGAATCATAACATTATGTTATAGGTCGTTTACTACTTTATGCAGGTATACTGCCACACACTAATGAATCTCATGTAATAGCTCATAGATATTTTCATTCCTCACATGCTTCGTCTCTTTCTTGCAAATAGCACGTTGTGTATGTGCGGATCTTCTATGACAGCTCATAGGTGTCTGCATTTGTTGCATGTCACCTGCCTTTGCCCGCAGGAATCAGTGTATTTGCCTGATACTGAATGATTGTTGACTTCAAGGATGTCGTAGTATTCATTATCTATTGCTAATCATCATTTGTAGGTACATTATTGTGCATACCGTGAATCTTCTACCATTATTAGTGGGTATTTGTATTCGCTACGATCTTTTATACTTGCTTGCAAATGACGTGTCACATGTCTGTGTTCATAGAGGATCCATCATGATTGCAACATACTCTCTATTATTGCTTGCATGAATATCAGTGCTTCATTTATATCTTAATGTTGACTGTTGACAAAATGGGCTTCATGCAACATCTTTTAACATTAGTTGTGGATGATGCTATTTTGCGTGCCTCCAACTATCATATTCATCGAGAGTTTGTGATGTTGCTTGTAATAAGTCAATAGGTCATATATAATAAGATTTCAGCACAGGTTCCATGTTTATTCATTGATTTTTGCATTTGAATTGATATGATAGCCTTTTTGATATTGATTGAAAAACTTATGTTGTTGATTATATGTTATTACACTTTTCATTTAATTTTTACTTGCATGATTCATTTTTATTTTGTAAATTATATGTCTTATTTTATACGTTAAGTTATGTTCCCTGTAGTCCATTCAAGTGTCCAGTTTCTTGTTGTTCAAGTCAAGTCCTATGTTCAATAGAATTTTTGGCAGCCTCCGAGTATCTTCCCCATTTAGGAGAAAATCCAAGAGTCTTAGACTACCCACCACGTCAGAGAAAGATATCATGGTCGATGTCTGATGACACCGCGTTTGTGGTCTCCAGTCCCATCACACTACAGAAAGGCGTGCATAGGTCTTCAGGGTCACCTATTTGAAAATACAATTATCCCTACAACGCCAAAAAAAAAAAATGCGGCTGCAACATAAGTGCCATATCAGGTTTCCTCCCTCCATGAAAGAGAAAAGCATGTATTATGCGTGCCTCCATGAAGGATCATAGTCGACAAAAGATCAAGACCAGAAAGACTATAGTTGGTGAGGGAGGTCACCGTAGTAGGCAACGGAGGTCAGAAAGACTGTAGTCGGCAGGAAACTGGGGTCAAAAAAATTGTTGTTTGGTGAAGGAGGTCGAGAGGATCATAGTAGGCGATGGAGGTCGGAAGGACCGTAGTCTGCAGGAGACTGAGGTCAGAAAGACCGTAGTTGTAGAGCAGTAATCTGGCAGAACTCTGGGCATCAGGTAGAGGTTTAACAGAAGTCCGGTCCTCAGGCGGTGGTCCGACATCACTCCAGTGTAAGGCGGTGGTCTTGTAGTGGCACTATTTTTCAAGCTAATGAAGGATATCTTTCTGAACAATTCAGAAAATTTATTCGCTCAAGTTATCACTGTTAATGGTATTTTGAGATTGGATAGCTGGGATTATCCTTTTAAAAGAACTCATTGATGAATATATATATTATAGGACAAGCTTTTATAACAATTCTTTTTCTTGTACTAACTTTTTCATGACAAATTAAAAATTCATTTGGGATTACTTTATTATTATTTTTTAAATGAGCTTTCTACTAAAAAAATAATTTTTTTTAATTAAAAAAATGTTTTAAAAAGCAATAAGAAAGACACCCCAAATGAAACTAAAAAAAAAAAAGAATAATCCAGCATATAAAAACCCATTTAAAAAAATGAAAAAAGGTCATTTTAATTGCTAGCATATAAAAACACATTTAAAAATTCTAAAATATGTTAAATTTTTTTTATTAAATTGAACATACTCTGAATTTTAACTCCCAAAGTGGTTGTTAGTACAATAATTTCATTATCACCATACATTAAACGAGTAAATAAAATCACCCTTTTCTTAACATATTTTCTAGCTACATGCAATCAAATAATCCTTTTGAATAAGAGGATTATAATGATTTTTTGGGCATCTATGATTTCTTTTAAACAATACTAACACTAGAAACTCAATTTCAATACATTTTTGTTTAGTGTTCAATGTATATTTGAAAAGCACCGAGAAATAAAAAATACTTAGCCAACTTCACCTGCTCTATGACATCTAGAATATAGAAATTTTTTTTTTTTTAAAGAATTTTTGAACCAATTAAGATATATTCACACACACATTACATACATAAACTTTAAATTAAAAATCTCTTAATTGATAGCTAAAGCTCTCAACCAATACATAAAGATGAGCTGCATTGCCCTGTATATATAAGTCCTTTTGAACCTAAAAAATGCCTAAATCCTATGAAGGATATGCTAAAAAATGCTTTCTAATTTTTGTATTATTATTCTAACTTTGAGAGAGAGTGAGTGAGAGAAAGAGCATTATGTAGTTTAACAGTGATATACAAATAATTTCATCTAAGCTGTATTACTCTATTTCTTAAGTAAACAAAAGTAGTCTTCCAACAAGAAGGCTGCACATCACAGGAATCAGACTGCCCCCAGATGACGCCCTCTCCACAATCCCTCCATAAAAAGTTTATTCTTTATTTCTTCCCAAGAAACAAACGAGTCTCTCAAAAAGCTGCTACCCTCCTATATACAGGCCGCGCTGCAGGATCAGCATCACCTCCTCATTTTGTATTAATACAAATATGATACAGAACTGAATATACTCTTTCTATACTTTACACTGATTTGCATGCAACCTTTCATCTGAAACAACCTTAGCTATCCGTTTTCTAAGTTTCTTCGCGGTCGACCGGGGCTCAATCACATTGATATCTCCCCAAATTGCGCACACATCTGCACCCAATCCCTTGCGATTTGGATCCGGTCCTGAACACCACTTACCAGGGCCAACACCATTTGGTTTTCTTCTCAGAATCAACTTGTCAACTTTTTGGAGTACAGGATCGTCCTCGATGAACCTCCGAGCGAAAGCTGCTCCACTCTTGACCATTGCTTTATAATTAGATTGGTTTAATAAAAGTGGTTCGAGCGTAGGAGGATTTTCCCACACAAAGTATCTAAGATCAGTGTTCACAGTCGTGTTCTGAAAATCTGGAGAATTGCAGATTACAGTTTGGAAGTAGGATTCAGCAGCAAAAGCCACATTGGTAAAATACATGAGAAGTTTCCTTGGGAGATTATCTAAGCTGTATATGCAGTGCTTCATGAAAGATCTACTGAGTATCACCCAAGGAGAACCTATTTTATACAAGAAAATAAAAGGAACATTATCAAAAAATGTAAATAATGCAAAAAAAAATGCAAATTTTTGTTGTATTAATTTGTAGACTTTGCTGACAATAATTGAGTTGAGTTAAACGACACATGCGGATCAAAATTAGAACAATTTTCATTGTTGTGCACAAATTTTAATTTTACTAAGACCTTCCACTTGCATGGTTGCAGGCCTTTGTTTCCCTGCTAAGATCGGGATGCCATCTAAAATACGCCAAGATCAGCAATTCGTAATTGGTAGCTAAGAGTCAAGTTGATGTAGCTTATATAAAGTTTAGTTATTAGGATGTTAAATTTAATTTAATTTCAAATTAGAATAAATTAACCTTTTGAATAATATTTGGTTTGAAATTTGAACTGAGATTAGATGAATTCAAAGTTAATTTGATCCTATCTTGTAAACCATATTTATATAAATATCGTGCCCCTGGAATGCATTAAATCAGTTGAATGATGAATTAAAGATTGAATGTTCTTATCTTCTCTCTCTCTCTCTCTCTCTCTCTCTCTCTCCCTCCTAAACCACGATCCTCTGCTTCTCACTACTACCGTCAGCTACAAATTCCTAATCAAAGACGAATGAATCTTTCATTGTTGATAGTTTGATGCCGTCGTCACACTCATTCGTTCATTTGCGTAGTCCTCCCGACAGAGTTTTTTAATGCAGAACTTGTTTGAAAAGATACGAAGTGCTATTATTCCCCAATGAAAACTTATCAAACTAAGAGGAAAATAAATAATACTAGACCTCAAACACCCGTATATTCCATTAAACCTTGAAGAAAATGTCAATACGTATTTTTATGTTAGGATTATAAAAAATGAAATAAAAATGACATTTTATTTCATGTAATAAAGCAATTGATAATTCTCATATTATTAAATTACATTTTAATGAATTAATTAAAATTACTGTGTTAAAGGCTCTAAAAATTTACATCCAACTCTCCTGAGAGACTTTGTTCCCGGTCAAATTTTCAGAAGATAGATTGGATTATATACAAGATATTACCTAGATATTTGTTAACCTCTGTGTAAATCACACAAAAAAGGAATGAAATCATGAATTGAAAGTTCGTTAGGGATGTTAGGCCCTCTTGAACTTAGTCCCAAGCTAATTAAAGAGAGAGGTGAATTGGAAAACTTTAAAACCAAAAACACAATCCAAATCACCACAATCAAAGTGCGGAAATTAAAACGCGGAAATAGTAAAAAGAAAGAACACACCGGATTTATAGTGGTTCGGTCAAACCTTGACCTACGTCCACTCCTTGGAGGCACCCCCCAAGTATTGCACTAAACTAGTGTCTCTCCTTTAGCCCCCACGGCTAGGCGGAGAAGCCCTTACAAAATCACTTCCACCTTCCCCGGTGCGGCGGAGTCGCCGGGTCCTTTG